CATCTGAGTCATTTGGGCCTCAACTTCCTTCTTCTCTTGCTGTAGTGTGGAGACCAGCTGAGTCATTCTTGTCTCAACCTCCTTCTTCTCTTGCTGTAGTGTGTGGACTATCTGAGTCAGTTTTGTCTCAACCTCCTTCTTCTCTTGCTGTAGTGTGTGGACTATCTGAGTCAGTTTTGTCTCAACCTCCTTCTTCTCTTGCTGTAGTGTGTGGACTATCTGAGTCAGTTTTGTCTCAACCTCCTTCTTCTCCTGAGCCATTTTGGCCTCAACTTCCTTCTTCTCTTGCTGTAGTGTGTAGACTATCTGAGTCAGTTTTGTCTCAACCTCCTTCTTCTCTTGCTGTAATGTGGAGACCAGCTGAGCCATGTGGGCCTGATCTTCCTTCCTCTGCTGCTGTAGTGTGGAGACCATCGGATTAATTTTGGCCTCATCTTCCTTCTTCTGCTGACTCATGTGGGCCACATCTTCCTCCTCCTTCTGATGGATGTCACTCCGTGTTTTCACGTCTGAGAAGATGGGACATAAAACAACAGAAACCGTTCAAATATCACATATCATATAATATTTCAGTGAATTAAAAGTCGAGAAGTCACAAAAAGTCAACTGGCTCGAGATTAAAAATTATGAAGAATTTAATAACTAACAGAAGTAATAAGCAATACAGTTACAAAGTATGTTTCATGTTTAATAGTATATTATTATTTCATCAGATGGAGAGTCCCCCTCGTCCAGCTTCATATGACCATCAATATTAGTTCACAGGGAAGCTTCTGGCCTGCTTCTTCCTTCTCAGCTCAGCTCTTCAATCCTCTGGGGGGGGCGTGGCTTGTGCTGCAGTTGTATGTGATTGGCTGCACATTTAGCGCAGCTCCTCCCTCATGAATTCCTTTCTGCTCCAAGACGTCACATGACTCTCTGCTGAGCTCCATCTGAGGGCTGAATCTGAAATCCCTCACTGACCTGATCGATCAGATCTGATCGATCAGGTCAGTCAGGGATTTCAGTATCTTGAAATAAATCGGCATTTCTAACCAGTCATCCACCTGGTTTGCTGATTACCTGTCCAACAGGACTCAGTCAGTCCAGTTAGCCAATGCCACCACATCCTCACTTGAGATCACTAAAGGTGTGCCTCAGGGCTCAGTCCTAGGATCTATTTTATTTTCTATTTATATAAATGATCTTTGTGTAAATGTTTCAAATGCTGCCTACCATTTTTATGCTGACGACACTGTTAATTATTGTTGTGCGTCCACGGTTGTGCTTGCATTTCAGTTGTTACAATCTGCTTTTAACGCCAGACAGGACCGCATACAAAACCTCAAATTGGTTTTAAATGCCAACAAATCAAAAATCATGGTGTTCTCAAAAGCTCCTTACTCAAATGATAATGTATTTTCTGTAAAAACTGCCCAAGGTAACCCAATCGAGATTGTCACCAATTATAAATACTTAAGTGTTCTTTTAGATAGGGAGCTCATATTGAAAACCTGGTAAAAAAAACTAAGGCTTGGCTTCTTCTACAGAAATCGCTTGTGTTTCTCTTTGAGAGCGCGTAAACTGCTTGTCTCGTCAACTTTTTTACCGTTAGTTGACTATGGAGATGTGCTGTATATATGTGCTTCCTCCAAAAGCCTAGCAGCTCTGGACCCTGTATATCACAGTGCACTGAGGTTTTTCACTGGCTGTGGTCGCCTCACACATCACTGTCAGCTTTATATGACGACTGTGTGGCCATCTTTGAGCACTCGGAGAGAAACTCACTAGTTGTCCTTGATCTATAAGGCTCTCCTCGGTATGGTCCCGTCTTATCTATGTTCACTCCTCCGTGGAGCAGAAAACCGGTACGCTTAAAGGTCTAGCGATATTTACTGCTTGTACATTCCACGAGTGCGGACTGAATTGAGGAAAAAATCGTTCAGTTTTGCCGCCCCATCAACATGGAACAATCTCCAGGCTGAACAGAAATTGTCTCAACTTGTATCTTTTAATGTTTTCCGACGTCTCCAAATGGACAGACAAAAAAAATATATTGAACGGTGCCTCTGCTTTTGACCATTTTTTCTTTGTGTTTTAGTTTTTAACTTAATTTGTATTGTGGTTTTACTCATGTCATGTATATGTATTTTATGGCTGTTTTTTAACGAAGTGTGCTGCTGCCTTCTTGGCCAGGTCGCCCTTGAAAATGAGATCTCGATCTCAATGGGACTTTTACCTGGTTAAATAAAATAAAAATCACAGCTTTGGCTTAAAGCGTAATCGTGTAAACACAACATAGCATGTAGAATAACATCACATCTCAACCATTGTGTTTAACTCAGTTCTATATGGTTCAGAATCAGAATGTTTGCCTCGCCGGGCTGTCGTACATCCTTTGCTCATCTACTACCTGACAGGAGAAAAAACTCCCAAAAAAAACTCTTTGGGGAGAAAATTGGGAGAAATCCATAAAGGACGTCAATTAGCATCCGTGCCCAGGTCTTAATGTTACATTGTGGCAGAATGTTGATGTGTACAGTAATTATATGACTTAAATGACTATAAATGGTTCTGGAGTCATTTTGCAAATATTTAATCTAACATGCTAATGTAATAACTAATATATAACATCAAACACACTACAATTGTAACCCTAAACCTTACTACGTGTATTATAATTTACACCACTAGGTGTGCTCTACTGCTTAAATCCCTAACAACCTCCAACATTAAAGTAATAGAATACTACTGTAGTGACAGATTTTCTTGAGCCACTCTGCAGGGTGCGGGAGAAGATCCTGTTCTTCACTCGCTCACACAGAGATTACAAGTCTTTTTGTTTTCTGTTGGTGAAGTTCCCGTTTATTAGTTTTACACTTTACAAACCACAGCGGCATCTATATTTAGCTCTTGATCTCGCTGCGCGTCTTGGGAGCGGTAAAAACCTGTGTCACACTGTGTCACACTGCCACCCGTGGCCAACCTGAGATTGGTTCCCAACACCAACTTTGAGAACTTCCTGTCTCAAAGAGATGCAGAAAAATTAGTTCATGCGTTTTGTCACTTCCAGACTGGACTACTGTAATTCTTTGTTATCGGGCTGCTCTTGTAAATCCCTTAAGCCTCTCCAGTTGATTCAGAATGCTGCAGCACGTGTATTAACAAGAACTAAGAAAAGGGATCATATCACTCCTGTATTAACTCTGCACTGGCTCCCTATTAAATCAAGAACAGATTTTAAGGTACTTCTCCTCACCTACAAGGCACTTGCTGGTGAGGCACCGTCGTATCTTAAAGAGCTTGTAACACCGTATTGCCCTACAAGGCAACTGCGCTCCATAGATGCTGGTTACTTGTTGTTCCTATGGTTTTAAAAAGTAGGCTGGGGGCCAGAGCCTTCAGTTATCAAGCTCCTCTTTTGTGGAACCAGGTTCCACTTTCAGTCCGGGGGGCAGATTCGGTCAGCTCTTTTAAAGTAAAACTTAAAACGTTCCTCTTTGATTCTGCCTATAGTTAGGGCTGGCTCAGGTTAGTCCGGACCAGCCCTTAGTTAAGCTGCTATAGGCTTAGACTGCCGGGGGACTTCTTCACACCAAGCTCCTCTCTCACGCTCTCGTTCTACCATAATTCACGTTTTATTAATGCACATGACTAATTCAGCTTCTTTTCCAGAGTTTTTTTGTGCTTTCTCCCCTAGCAGGTCTCCGTAGATCGTGGTTCCTTCTGGACCCTGGTCCTGACACCTGCTGCTGCCACATGACCCTCTCCTAAAGTCTTTATGCTCTCCCTCCCCACAAGCTTCTGTCCCTACAGTGGTCCTGCTGTGCGCCTGGCTTACTACTCACAATTACTTTGCATGTATTATACATTGTTCATTCTGTACACATGGCATCATTGTAGTCTGTCCATCCCGGGAGTGGGATCCTCCTCTGACGTTCTCCCTGAGGTTTCTTCCCTTTTTTCCCTCTTGGAAGGGTTTTTTCATTTTTTGGGGAGTTGTTCCTGTGACATGTGAGGGTTTCGGCACAGAGGATGTCGTATGTGTACAGACTGTAAAGCCCTCTGAGGCAAATTTGTAATTCGGGATTTTGGGCTATACAAAATAAAATAAAATTAATTGAATTGAATAGTTGAATGATCTGAAATATGACATCACTATAATCATGGATGAGCTGTGACCTACCTTTAAATTTATACCACGCAGCCAGTAAACCACCGAGCAGCAGGACACCAAACCCATAAGCCACAGGGACCCACTCCATGGAGCTGGCTTCTTCCCAAAGACCGCTACCTGAGGACGGGACGAAGACAACTGAGCGGAGCAGCTTCCAGGTCTCTGAAGCAGCTAAAAAGATCGCGGCCGACCCCTCCCACCCCGGACATAAACTGTTTGTGCCCCTTCCATCTGGCAGGAGGCTGAGGTCCATCAGGACTACGACCTCCCGCCACACGAACAGTTTCTTCCCGTCGGCAGTCGGGCTCATCAACAGAGCCCGGTCCCCCACTGACTGACTATAACATCCCACCGGTCACTCCCCTTCATACTGCACATGTCACTTTAACTGCAATTCATCACTTTGTCACTTGTCACTTTGTCTCTTGTCTGTTACTTGTTCGTTAGTGCACTTTATGCTTAATACTTTTCTTTAACTTTTTAATATTTAACATTTTTTAACTTTATTCCCTCGTTTTATACTAACCCATAGCCTTAGCCTTATTCTTACTAACCCTATTGCATTAACATTTCATTCTACTTTATTTTATTACTTGTGCACTGTTGTCTTGTCTGTCTACTCTCGCGCACTAACCGCCAAGACAAATTCCTTGTATGTTTGACATATTTTGGCTAATAAATGTTTCCTGATTCCTGATTCCTGATCAAGTCCTCCACAGGAGGTGTGAGGGTTCATCACTGCAGACCTCTGGTGTGTGTGTTGGTTTCCTCAAAAGGAAAAGGACTCACCGCTCATCAGAAGACAGGACAGTGCAGATATGGTGGCCTTCTGAAGAAGACTGATGAAGCTCTGCGACCCTGGTAAATTAGACACCACGGGTCAAACAGAAGTCTTTCCTCTGTTGTAGAACAGGACACTTTTACTGTGTTTAGTATCCACTTGAGAGGATTCTAATCCACAACTAGAAAATGCATTTCCTGCAGAAAATGAATGCTGAAAGCTAAAAGCTGAAATGAATTTGAAAAAATAGCTGAAAATACAGAAATGGGAGAAGCTGAAATAAACACAGTTGGTGTCCCTAAAGTCTGGAGCAGTATGAAGACCATATTGAGGGATACAAGTTGTGAATGTGAGACATGTCCTCAGTCCACCCACCTACAAGCAGCTGGACCAGATGCTCCTGGTTGGGTTTCTGGAGGTAGCACCGGTACGTCCCGCTGTCAGACACCTTCACGGAGGAAAGCTTCAGAGAGACGTCTCCACGCTCCAGCCCGCTGATGGACAGTGAAGTTCTGCCCTTGAAGGCCTCGTTCTGGTCATCCAGCAGCTCCTTTCCGTCGTGCCACACGAGGACGAATCTGGGCTTCATGTCCGCTCGCCCCCACTCCATCGTCATGGAAACAGCATCCGCGGGGGGGTCCAGCAGACAGGGCAGAACGACGTCATCACCGACCATCGCCGTGACCAGCTGAGGTGGATCGATTGTCAGAGAACCACCTGGGAGACGGTTCAGATCATTGGAATCCATATTTCCATCTAAAGGTCTTTGACACCAACTGGTCCAACACGCTGAAGGATGACGTGTTAATATGTAGCGTGTAATTCAACACATGAACAGAAGCCTGACCAGGGGACACGCACACACGTCATGTCCATGACTGACCTTCTGTAGGTGAGCCCCCAAGCTACAGGCTACACACTCATTGTGTGTGTGTGTGTGTGTGTGTGTGTGTGTGTGTGTGTGTGTGTGACTTACCTCCAATGAAGTGTGTTAGTAGAAGGAAGGCGACAGCAAGTCCGTCCTCATAGTGAGTCATCCTGGAGTCCTGAAGATTCAGACACATTTCATATAAAACAAAACGGAGGTTTTCTGTTGTTTACAACATTCACTATTTAGCTGCATAATTAGTATTTTAATATTTCTGCAGCAACATCATCTTAAACTGGAACCTTTAACAACTAAATTTGAAAAGTAACATTTCTGACAAAAGGACGAGAAGACAAAAGCTGACGTTCCAACAGCCCTTCAGCGAGGCTCCACCTCCTTCCTTCATAATCTGTTAGCTTAGCATCAGCACTTTTCACCTCCCACAAGTTCACAGCGAGCGGATTAAGAGAAAGTAGCAGAGAAAACAGCTCTTTAATGTCAGATTCTAAATGTTACCTGAAAAGCGTCTTTGTCCTCTGCTCTAACGGTCCCTGGGGGGTTGGTGGAGGGAGGTGGGGGTGTAACTGAGTTATCAGGAGCGAAGGCGGAGGTGTTACTACGACCTCCACCACAGACGAGTCCAGGCTGAACGTCTTAAATCATTCATGAATGTAATGACAATGTGCACAATCATTAATACACTTTAATGGAAACATCTGACAAGTAGAAGTTAAAGTAGAAAAGTAACTCGTACCTGAAGTGTGCGTGTCGCCTCAAATGAAGACGGGGTCAAAGTGCGCTCATAAACGTTTGTTACTGTGAACATTAACAGTGGAAGAGGTGTGGTCGCTCTGCAGTGCAGGAAAGAAGAATTCACCCCATTTTGTTCAAACAGACTTTCTGTTTCTGATCAACGCAACATGATTAATACTCTGAAGGTGCAAAACACCTTAATACAAAGTTCGCATCTGTTGGAGGCATTTTATAAAATCCTAATAGAATGAATTTTGATCTTTGGTTATTTCATGACAAGATGTAAATAAGTCCTAGGAGATTGAATACAGCAAGGCTCTATATCTCTAACATCATAGATCAAAGTTTAATTTTACTTGGTACTTTAAACCATCTCCTCTGAAACCTGGGATCAGCGAGATGATGGAAGAAGGACCGTCAACAAGCAAACATGAAACCAAGCCGCGTCTGTGTCTTGGATGGGATTCAGGCTCTTTGCTTGTGTACAGCTGGTTTTATTTCTATATTTAGCTTTTATACTATAAATAGGCCTAATGTGGGATCATATTCATATGTGATCAATACTTTTTCTTGATACAAAGCCAACGTTTATGGGCTGTTAAGTCCCATTAATACAAATATATGAATTAATAATCACTAATAGCTTTGCTTACACCAACTGTTCTTTCTGTGTGGTTCACCAGAGCTTTGTGTACTATAGTATTAGTACTATAGTATTAGTGCTAGAGTATTATATCGCTCAAACCTGAATGCTCTGCTACACCAAATTGTGAGTAAAATAAGTATTTCCTATGTTTTAATTACAAAATACATTTATTGTATTTTGTTGCACCAGTATTTTATACTATATAATTTTATTTTTGGTATTTCCTATTTTTATCAAAATACATATTGTAGTATTGATTACAGTGAACAACACTAAGTCTAATATTAATTCTTATCAATGTAAAATAGAGTTAATCATCTGCTGACATCCAGAGGTGCAAACCAAGCGGCGGGCTCATGGATTTTATTTTGAAAGTTTCTTTCTCTCCTGGTTGGTTTTACTTCCTGTCTTTGTGTTCTGCTCCACACCTGAGAGTCATTGGTTAATTATTAACTAGTCAGTTGAGTTGAGCTCTGCTTGGTCCTTCTCACCTCTCAGTGTTCCTCCTCTGGCGTTTGGCTCCACTTCCTGTTTCTCTGAGGTTCCGACCACGGCGCCAGAAGAGCCTCAGCAACAAAACGCATGAACTACCAGAGACTAGACAACACAAGCAGCACCTCTCATTGGAGGAAATACACGTGTGGAGGTGCTGTAGAAAAGTCCCACCGCCCGGTTTTATCTTCTCATATCACTTTATTCATCAAACTAAAGGCAACAAAAGGAAGAAAACTGAATCTTTTCATGTCTGTAAAAAAAAGACGTTGCAAGAAAAATACGTTCACTTCACCTTTTAATCCAGAGAGAAAGATACAGGACTTCCATCAAGTTATCAGGGATCATCAAGGTAGAACAGATGAACTCTAGAGCTCCATCAGGTTCTCTATCATCATTTTGAGTCTCTCATAGTTCTTCTTTGTCTCGTCTAGTTTCCACTGAGCCTTCAGCAGGTTCTCTTTGGCTGTTATTAACTCCTTCGGTTTGTCCGACTGCTTTTCTCTCTCCCTTATTTCATCCTCCACAGACTGAAGCTCCTTCTTGTTCTCCACCTTCTCAGTCTTCACCTTCTCAAGTAGACTTGTGAGTTGATCTTTGGTTTCCTCCAGTCCGGTCCTCTGCTGCTGTAGTGCGGAGACCATCGAAGTCATTTTGGCCTCATCTTCCTTCTTCTTCTGGTGGATGTCACTCCGTGTTTTCACGTCTGAGAAGATGGGACATAAAACAACAGAAACTGTTCAAATATCAAATATCAAACAATATTCTAGTGAATTAAATGTCGAGAAGTCATAAAAAGTCAACTGGCTCGAGATTAAAAATGATAAAGAATTTAATAACTAACAGAAGTAATAAGCAATACAGTTACAAAGTATGTTTCATGTTTAATAGTATATTATTATTTCATCAGATGGAGAAGTCCCCTCGTCCAGCTTCATATGATCATCAATATTAGTTCACAGGAAGCTTCTGCCTGCTCCTTCTCCAGCTCAGCTCTTCAAATCTCTGGGGGGGGCGTGGCTTGTGCTGCAGTTGTATGTGATTGGCTGCACATTTAGCGCAGCTCCTCCCTCATGAATTCCTTTCTGCTCCAAGGCGTCACATGACTCCCTGCTGGCTCCATCTGAGGGCTGAATCTGAAATCCCTCACTGACCTGATCGATACCACATCACTTAATACTGCAGTACATTCAAAAATCACAAAAGTTTTAAAGTTTTAAATGATATATTTGAACCACTTGATCTTAAAAAAGTACGTGTTGCCCTTTTTTTTCCATTTTTATGCTGACGACACTGTTAATTATTGTTGTGCGTCCACGGTTGTGCTTGCATTTCAGTTGTTACAATCTGCTTTTAACGCCAGACAGGACCGCATACAAAACCTCAAATTGGTTTTAAATGCCAACAAATCAAAAATCATGGTGTTCTCAAAAGCTCCTTACTCAAATGATAATGTATCTTCTGTAAAAACTGCCCAAGGTAACCCAATCGAGATTGTCACCAATTATAAATACTTAAGTGTTCTTTTAGATAGGGAGCTCATATTGAAAACCTGGTAAAAAAAACTAAGGCTTGGCTTCTTCTACAGAAATCGCTTGTGTTTCTCTTTGAGAGCGCGTAAACTGCTTGTCTCGTCAACTTTTTTACCGTTAGTTGACTATGGAGATGGGCTGTATATATGTGCTTTGTCCAAAAGCCTAGCAGCTCTGGACCCTGTATATCACAGTGCACTGAGGTTTTTCACTGGCTGTGGTCGCCTCACACATCACTGTCAGCTTTATATGACGGCTGGGTGGCCATCTTTGAGCACTCGGAGAGAAACTCACTGGTTGTCCTTGATCTATAAGGCTCTCCTCGGTATGGTCCCGTCTTATCTATGTTCACTCCTCCGTGGAGCAGAAAACCGGTACGCTTTAAGGTCCAGCGATATTTACTGCTTGTACATTCCACGAGTGCGGACTGAATTGGGGGAAAAAGCGTTCAGTTTTGCCGCCCCATCAACATGGAACAATCTCCAATTTTATGGCTGTTTTTTAACGAAGTGTGCTGCTGCCTTCTTGGCCAGGTCGCCCTTGAAAATGAGATCTCGATCTCAATGGGACTTTTACCTGGTTAAATAAAATAAAAATCACAGCTTTGGCTTAAAGCGTAATCGTGTAAACACAACATAGCATGTAGAATAACATCACATCTCAACCATTGTGTTTAACTCAGTTCTATATGGTTCAGAATCAGAATGTTTGCCTCGCCGGGCTGTCGTACATCCTTTGCTCATCTACTACCTGACAGGAGAAAATACTCCCAAAAAAAACTCTTTGGGGAGAAAATTGGGAGAAATCCATAAAGGACGTCAATTAGCATCCGTCCCAAGGTCTTAATGTTAAATTGATGCAGAATGTTGATGTGTACAGTAATTATATGACTTAAATGACTATAAATGGTTCTGGATTCATTTTGCAAATATTTAATCTAACATGCTAATGTAATAACTAATATCTAACATCAAACACATTACAATTGTAACCCTAAACCTTACTACGTGTATTATAATTTACACCACTAGGTGTGCTCTACTGCTTAAATCCCTAACAACCTCCAACATTAAAGTAATAGAATACTACTGTAGTGACAGATTTTCTTGAGCCACTCTGCAGGGTGCGGGAGAAGATCCTGTTCTTCACTCGCTCACACAGAGATTACAAGTCTTTTTGTTTTCTGTTGGTGAAGTTCCCGTTTATTAGTTTTACACTTTACAAACCACAGCTGCATCTATATTTAGCTCTTGATCTCGCTGCGCATCTTGGGAGCGGTAAAAACTGTGTGATCTCTCCGTCACCCATGCATCAGTACCCTGGCTAATTGCACCTGTGCCCCCATATGTAGACTGTGTGTCACACTGCCACCCGTGGCCAACCTGAGATTGGCTCCCAACACCAAGTGGTACACAAACATCCTGAATGGCTCCTACAACTATGTAACACTGTTACTGGCACCAATGGTTTGTTTTTTTGCATTAAATTATGCTATTACCTGTTGTAAAAATGCAATAATGTTCCGCCTTAGTCAATGTTACTTAAACCACAGAAATTCTGTGCTCTTCTGGGTCATCTGATAATCAAGAAGTTTGTGCGTCAACTACATATTCCTGCTCCAACGATGGAGACCAAGTTGCCTTAATGCATGACTTGTGTGTGTGTGTGTGTTAACTCTGCCTCCTGTTTGCTAACATTAAATATCCTGTTTGATGTTTTTACACCAAGGTTGCGTTTTGTAACACTACCAATGAAGGAGTGTGACTCGCTACGCTGGTAGTCTCAAAGTCTAAATCTTCTACTTGTCTTTTGGATCCGATTCCGACCAAACTGCTTAAGGAAGTTTTTCCTTTAGTTAGCACATCCTTATTAGATATTATGAATCTGTCTTTGTTGACAGGACATGTACCACAGTCCTTCAAGGTAGCTGTAATTAAACCTCTTCTTAAGAAACCTACTCTTGCTCCAGAGGTGTTGGCTAACTACAGACCTATCTCTAATCTTCCCTTCCTCTCTAAGATCCTTGAGAAATCTGTCGCAAATCAATTATGTGACTTTCTACCAAACAATGCTTTGTTCCAGGATTTCCAGTCAGGATTTCGAGTGCATCACAGTACAGAAACAGCACTGGTGAAAATTACGAATGATCTTCTACTTGCATCGGACCAAGGACTCATCTCTTTTCTTGTCTTGCTGGACCTCAGTGCGGCATTTGATACCATAGACCATTGTATCCTGTTGCGGAGACTAGAACATTTACTTGGTATCAAAGGAACTGCACTCAGCTGGTTTAAATCCTACTCATCGGACCGATACCAGTTTGTGCTTGTAAACGGTGAATCCTCAAAGACCACCAATGTTGGTCACGGAGTCCCACAAGGTTCTGTACTTGGACCGATTTTATTTACCCTCTATACGCTTCCTTTGGGCGATCTTATCAGGAAACACTGCATGAACTTCCATTGTTATGCAGACGATACTCAACTGTATCTGTCGACCAAGCCAGAAGAGACCGATCAGCTAGTTAGACTTCAAGAATGTCTTGGAAACATCAAAACTTGGATGCCCGGCAACCTCCAGATGCTAAACTCAGAAAAAACGGAAGTTATCCTGATAGGCCCAGAGCGCCTTCGAAGCCAGCTGTCACGTGATACAGTTTTTATGGATGGAATTGCTCTGGTACCCAGCAGCACCGTCAGGAATCTGGGAGTTCTCGTCGACCAGGATATGGACTTCAACTCGCATATAAAGAAGACTTCAAGGACTGCCTATTTTCATCTACGTAACATATCAAAAATCAGGATCTTCCTGTCTCAAAGTGATGCAGAAAAATGAGTTCATGCGTTTGTCACTTCCAGACTGGACTACTGTAATTCTTTGTTATCCAGAGCCTTCAGTTATCAAGCTCCTCTTTTGTGGAACCAGGTTCCACTTTCAGTCCGGGGGGCAGATTCGGTCAGCTCTTTTAAAGTAAAACTTTAAACGTTCCTCTTTGATTGTGCCTATAGTTAGGGCTGGCTCAGGTTAGTCCGGACCAGCCCTTAGTTAAGCTGCTATAGGCTTAGACTGCCGGGGGACTTCTTCACACCAAGCTCCTCTCTCACGCTCTCGTTCTACCATAATTCACGTTTTATTAATGCACATGACTAATTCAGCTTCTTTCCCAGAGTTTTTTTGTGCTTTCTCCCCTAGCAGGTCTCCGTAGATCGTGGTTCCTTCTGGACCCTGGTCCTGACACCTGCTGCTGCCACATGACCCTCTCCTAAAGTCTTTATGCTCTCCCTCCCCACAAGCTTCTGTCCCTACAGTGGTCCTGCTGTGCGCCTGGCTTACTACTCACAATTACTTTGCATGTATTATACATTGTTCATTCTGTACACATGGCATCATTGTAGTCTGTCCATCCCGGGAGTGGGATCCTCCTCTGACGTTCTCCCTGAGGTTTCTTCCCTTTTTTTTCCCTCTTGTAAGGGTTTTTTCATTGTTTGGGGAGTTGTTCCTGTGCCGATGGAGGGTTTCGGCACAGAGGATGTTGTATGTGTACAGACTGTAAAGCCCTCTGAGGCAAATTTGTAATTCGGGATTTTGGGCTATACAAGATAAAATAAAATGAATTGAATTGAATTGAATTGAATAGTCGAATTGAATAGTTGAATGATCTGAAATATGACATCACTGTAATCATGGATGAGCTGTGACCTACCTTTAAATTTACTCCACGCAGCCCGCAAACCAAAGAGCAGCGGGACAACCAATCCACAAGCCACAGCCACAGGGACCCACTTCATGGAGCTGGCTTCTTTCCAAAGACCGCTATCTGAGGACGGGACGGAGACAACTGAGCGGAGCAGCATCAAGTCCTCCACAGGAGGTGTGAGGCTTCATCACTGCAGACCTCTGGTGTGTGTGTTGGTTTCCTCAAAAGGAAAAGGACTCACCGCTCATCAGAAGACAGGACTGTGCAGATATGGTGGCCTTCTGAGGAAGACTGATGAATCTCTGGTAAATTAGACACCACGGATCAAACAGAAGTCTTTCCTCTGTTGTAGAACAGGACACTTTTACTGTGTTTAGTATCCACTTGAGAGGATTCTAATCCACAACTAGAAAATGCATTTCCTGCAGAAAATGAATGCTGAAAGCTAAAAGCTGAAATGAATTTGAAAAAATAGCTGAAAATACAGAAATGGGAGAAGCTGAAATACATTTAAACAGATTTTCTTAAAATACAGAAGTTGCAGGAGGTGAAATGAACTTTAAAAAGCTGCAGAAAAAAACGAAAATGAAATGAATTTATAAATACAGAAATAACAAACGCTGAGAAGAATTTTGAAAAAGTATTTTTTGTCCGAATATTAGTAGTAGTATTACCCACCCAATTCCATCATTTCAAAATAAAAGCCTCAATTATTATCTGTACCTTAACCATAAAGCTCAGGATGAAGCTGTTTTGTTGAAATACGTATTGCTCTTTCAAGTACTACTACAACCAGTACTAATATTAGGAGTATTTCTAGTAGTACTACTAAAACTGATGCTTTTGCTACCACTACTACAGTATTTCAACTGGTATTAGTAACTAAAATGACTCTTACTACTGCTAACACTACTAGTAGTAGAACTAAACCGTATAGTAGTACTACTACATCTGATATTTCTACTAACATTATTAACACTACTAATGCTGACGCAGCAATGCGTTTACAATGCGTTTTTTGAAAGCTTACCTGTCGTGTGAGTGAAGAAGTCGGATCGTCTCAGGTCTCCGGGGACAAAGTCCTCCCATAAAGACATCATATGCATCAGGTGACATCAGCCTCTGGTTCCTATTGGCTGCTGACTGATGAGTCAAATGTTTCAAACACATCAACATGATCCCAGTGAGGGACACGATGACTGTTGGTAAGTCAGCTCACCAAGTGTGGAACCAAGCGTGACCTTTGCCCTCAGGGTGACTTATAGTGTTACAGGCCTTTGGAGCCGAGGCTTATCTCTCATCTGAAGGATCTCTGGAGGTGACTGCAGAGGGCAGAGTGGGACTTCTACATGTCCTCTGTCCCCCCACAGGCCTGCAGGATGGACCATCGGGAGAAATGCACTTTGCTTTGGGTATTTTTTCACAATATATATTTCAAAATATATTTTCTTTTTAGAGACTTTATTCATATTAATAAACATTCGCCACAATTATCGTGCAAAACTCTTATTTTCTGACAAGAAAAGATTCATTGTAATGTAACCTGATGTAGGATGTCGTGTGTGTTTGTTTGTTTCTAAATTAAACTGATTTTGTTCTTGATAAAAATCCTTCAAACCAGGACGAATGCTAAGCTTCAAAAAGTAGTTCTGAGTTATGACTCCACAGCGCAGACGTGTTAATTCATACAGCACAAAGAGACAGAGAATGTTGAATCTTCTGAAAATAACGTTTACTGGCTGTTATGTTCCATTAATACAAATACATATATGTCTTGTAATGGCTTTGCTGTGACTGTTCTTCCTTTCTGTGTGGTTCATCAGAGCTTTGTGTACATTATATTGCTCAAACCCGAATGCTCTGCTACACCAAATTGTGAGAAAACCCAGAAAAAAGTATTTTCTATGTTATAAATACCATTTTGTTACATCTTCTAGCAGTATTTTCTATTTTATTTTAATACATTTATTTAAGATGTGTTAATAAAATACATATTCCAGTATTGATTACAGTGAACAACACTGATTCTAATATTAATTCTTATCAATGTAAAATAGAGTTAATCATCTGCTGACAACCAGAGGTGCAAACCAAGCGGCGGGCTCATGGGTTTTATTTTGAAAGTTACTCTCTCTCCTGGTTGGTTTTACTTCCTGTCTTTGTGTTCTGCTCCACACCTGAGAGTCATTGGTTAATTATTAACTAGTCAGGTGAGTTGAGCTCTGCTTGGTCCTTCTCACCTCTCAGTGTTCCTCCTCTGGCGTTTGGCTCCACTTCCTGTTTCTCTGAGGTACCGACCACGGCGCCAGAAGAGCCTCAGCAACACAACGCATGAACTACCAGAGACTAGACAACACAAGCAGCACCTCTCATTGGAGGAAATACACGTGTGGAGGTGCTGTAGAAAAGTCCCACCGCCCGGTTTTATCTTCTCATATCACTTTATTCATCAAACTAAAGGCAACAAAAGGAACAAAGATGGAACAAAGAAAACAACAGTAAATCTTTTTATTTCGGTAAAAAAAACGTGTTGCAAGAAAAATACGTTCACTTCACCTTTTAATCCAGAGAGAAAGATACAGGACTTCCATCAAGTTATCAGGGATTATCAAGGTAGAACAGATGAACTCTGGAGCTCCATCAGGTTCTCCATCATCATTTTGAGTCTCTCATAGTTCCTCTTTGTCTCGTCTAGTTTCCACTGAGCCTTCAGCAGGTTCTCTTTGGCTGTTATTAACTCCTTCGGTTTGTCCGACTGCTTTTCTCTCTCCCTTATTTCATCCTCCACAGACTGAAGCTCCTTCTTGTTCTCCACCTTCTCAGTCTTCACCTTCTCAAGTAGACTTGTGAGTTGATCTTTGGTTTCCTCCAGTCCGGTCCTCTGCTGCTGTAGTGTGGAGACCATCTGAGCCAGTTTGGCCTCATCTTCCTTCTTCTCTTGCTGTAGTGTGGAGACCATCTGAGCCAGTTTGGCCTCATCTTCCTTCTGCTGATGCACCGTGGAGGCCATCTGAGCCAATATGGCCTCATCTTCCTTCTTCTGCTGCTGTAATGTGGAGACCATCTGAGCCAGTTTGGCCAAATCTTCCTTCTGCTGATGCACTGTGGAGGCCATCTGAGCCAGTTTGGCCTCATCTTCCTTCTTCTGCTTCTGGAGAGTGGAGACCATCTGAGCCATGTGGGCCTGATCTTCCTTCTTCTGCTGCTGTAAGGTGGAGAGCATCTCAGCCAGTTTGGCCTGATCTTCCTTCTTCTGCTGCTGTAGTGTGGAGACCATCTCAGTCATGTGGGCCTCAACGTACCTCTTCTCTTCCTGGAGTGTGGAGACCATTTGAGTCATTTTGGCCTCATCTTCCTTCTTCTGCTGCTGGAGAGTGGAGACCATCTGAGTCATTTTGGCCTCATCTTCCTTCTTCTGCTGCTGGAGTGTGGAGACCATCTGAGTCATTTTGGCCATATCCTCCTCCTTCTGCTCAGCCAGTTTGACCTCAACTTCCTTCTTCTGCTGCTGGAGTGTGGAGACCATCTGAGTCATTTTGGCCTCATCTTCTTTCTTCTGCTGATGAAGTGTGGAGACCATCTGAGTCATTTTGGCCTCATCTTCCTTCTTCTGCTGATGTAGTGTGGAGACCATCTGAGTCAGTTTGGCCTCATTTTCCTTCTTCTGCTGATGTAGTGTGGAGACCATCTGAGTCATTTTGGCCTCATCGTCCTTCTTCTGCTGCTGGAGAGTGGAGACCATTTGAGTCATTATGGCCATATCCTCCTTCTTCTGCTCAACCAGTTTGGCCTCATCTTCCTTCTTCTGCTTCTGGAGAGTGGAGACCATCTGAGCCATGTAGGCCTCGTCTTCCTTCTTCAGCTGCTGGAGAGTGGAGACCATCTGAGTCATTTTGGCCTCATCTTCCTTCTTCTGCTGCTGGAGAGTGGAGACCATCTGAGTGATTTTGGCCTCATCGTCCATCTTCTGCTGCTGGAAAGTGGAGACCATCTGAGTCATTTTGGCCTCATCTTCCTTCTTCTGCTGCTGGAGTGTGGAGACCATCTGAGTCATTTTGGCCATATCCTCCTCCTTCTGCTCAGCCAGTTTGACCTCATCTTCCTTCTTCTGCTGCTGGAGTGTGGAGACCATCTGAGTCATTTTGGCCTCATCTTCTTTCTTCTGCTGATGTAGTGTGGAGACCATCTGAGTCATTTTGGCCTCAACTTCCTTCTTCTGCTGCTGGAAACGTGGAGACCATCTGAGCCAGTTTGGCCTCATCTTCCTTCTGCTGATGCACCGTGGAGGCCATCTGAGCCAATATGGCCTCATCTTCCTTCTTCTGCTGCTGTAATGTGGAGACCATCTGAGCCAGTTTGGCCAAATCTTCCTTCTGCTGATGCACTGTGGAGGCCATCTGAGCCAGTTTGGCCTCATCTTCCTTCTTCTGCTTCTGGAGAGTGGAGACCATCTGAGCCATGTGGGCCTGATCTTCCTTCTTCTGCTGCTGTAAGGTGGAGAGCATCTCAGCCAGTTTGGCCTGATCTTCCTTCTTCTGCTGCTGTAGTGTGGAGACCATCTCAGTCATGTTGGGCCTCAACGTACCTCTTCTCTTCCTGGAGTGTGGAGACCATTTGAGTCATTTTGGCCTCATCTTCCTTCTTCTGCTGCTGGAGAGTGGAGACCATCTGAGTCATTTTGGCCTCATCTTCCTTCTTCTGCTGCTGGAGTGTGGAGACCATCTGAGTCATTTTGTGCCTCATCTTCTTTCTTCTGCTGATGTAGTGTGGAGACCATCTGAGTCATTTTGGCCTCAACTTCCTTCTTCTGCTGCTGGAGAGTGGAGACCATCTGAGTCATTTTGGCCTCATCTTCCTTCTTCTGCTGCTGGAGAGTGGAGACCATTTGAGTCATTATGGCCATATCCTCCTTCTTCTGCTCAACCAGTTTGGCCTCATCTTCCTTCTTCTGCTTCTGGAGAGTGGAGACCATCTGAGCCATGTAGGCCTCATCTTCCTTCTTCTGCTGCTGTAAGCTGGAGACCATCTCAGCCAGTTTGGCCTGATCTTCCTTCTTCTGCTGCTGTAGTGTGGAGACCATCTCAGTCATGTGGGCCTCAACGTCCCTCTTCTCTTCCTGGAGAGTGGAGACCATTTGAGTCATTATGGCCATATCCTCCTTCTTCTGCTCAACCAGTTTGGCATCATCTTGCTTCTTCGGATTCAGGAGAGTGGAGCCCATGTGAGGCACGTGGGCGTCATCTGACTTCTTCTGCTGCGGTAAGAGAGAGACCATGTCAGCCAGTTTGCCTGCATCTTCCTTCTTCCGCTGCTGTAGTGTGGAGACCATCTCAGTCATGTGGGCCTCAACGTCCCTCTTCTCTTCCTGCAAGTGTGGAGACCATTTGAGCCATTTAGCCGTCATCTTCCTTTTTCTGCTGCTGGAGAGTGGAGACCATTTGAGTCATTTGGTCCAATACCTCCTTCTTCTGCTCAGCCAGTTGGGCCTCATCTTCGAGAGAACGGAGTAGAGTGAGGAGACCATGTGAGTCATGTGGGCCTCAACGTCCCTCTTCTCTTGCTGTAGTGTGGAGACCATCTGAGCTATCTTGCTCAGATCTTCATTCCTTGGCTGCTGGAGTGTGGAAGTCATGTTGGCCTCATCCTTCTTCTGCTGCTGGAGGTCACTTTTCACATCTAAGAAGATGGGACAACGACAGAAACAGTTATTGAAAAGCAAACAATATTTCATGGAATCACATGTCATTTAAGATACTTAATGCTTTACATTGAATAACCCCCTGATGTTTAGTCAAGTAAACTCCAACATTAAAGTAATGGATCACTATGTAACACTGTCATAGGAAACACTCTTGCATTAATTTATGTTATTACCTAAAAAAAACTGTAATAATGATCCACGATAGTCAATATTACTTAAACCACAGAGAGTCGCAGCTCTTTCACATGGAGGTACATTGTGTTCTGGGTCGTCTGATAATCAAGTTTCTGCGTCAAACTTTGGTTTGATCCAGAGACCCCCCCCACGTTTTAGCATCTTTCAGCTCCAGGATGGAGACCGTCGAGTGGCCTTGGCGCACGACTTCTATGTATCAACTCTGTCTCCTGTTTGCAAACATTAAATATACGGTTTGATGATTTCACACCGGTGTCTTGGGTCAGATTTTTTCTAACGTTACCAATGAAGGAGAGTGACTCACTACGTTTGTAGTCACGTTGATGATCTATTTGGTGAAACATGACATCACTGTAATCATGGATGAGCTGTGACCTACCTTTAAATTTACTCCACGCAGCCCACAAACCAAAGAGCAGCGGGACAACCAACCCACAACCCACGCCCACGAGGACCTTCTCCATTGAGCTGGCTTCTTCCCAAATACCGCTACCTGAGGACGGGACGGAGACCACTTTCATGAAATTGCACTTTCTTGTTTCTTGTTCTTCTGAGTTTGTTTCCTTATGGTTGAATGCTCTTATTGTAAGTCGCTTTGGATAAAAGTGTCAGCTAAATGACATGTGATGTAATAATGTAATGACTGAGCGGAGTCCTCCACAGGAGGTGTGAGGCTTCATCACTGCAGACCTCTGGTGTCACAGCGGCCGTGGTAGTGTGGCCGGAAACAGGACTCAGACGCAGAGTTTGACAACAAAAGGTACTTTTAATAAATCTAAAATCCAAAACGCCAGGGCGGAAAAAACGATGACTCGGAAAACGCAGACGGGGAACAAGGACTTACACGACACAGGGACGAGGTTCAGGGTTGATATTCAAGGACTGGAGACTTAGGGTTGAACATTCAGGCATACCATGCAATGATGGGACAAGGGACAAGAGACACGCATGGTTTAAATACACTGGGAAGGTGTTGGGGTCTGTTTCAAGTAGGAGGTTTAACAAACTCTGAGTCAAACCCTAAACTCGTTCAATCAACTCGGAGTAGGTTGACTCAGAGTTGAGCGCGTGCACCACCACAGTATGAAGGCAGCATGAATGGAGCCATGATACTACGAGTTACCATGACAACCACCACAAACAATATATTCACCCCTATTGAGCTGGAAATATTACTGCAAGCGTACGGCGAGTATGAACCCGTAATTAGGAAGTAGAGCAACACGCTGCTGCAGCAAATGACAGAGAAACAGCGTAAGTTCCAATAAAGTGTTGTCAGTTAATATTTAATGTACACTACTCATAATCCATATGTTACTAATTCCCACTGTTTGTTAGAATGCACTACACACAGGCTTTAAATACACACACATGCTCATATTTAATCACAAGAACAATATCGCTGGTATAAACTGGCTCAATGGTGTTGAACCTATAATGTGTTTTATTCAGGTGCGTCCTGTGGAACTCCTCTCACAAGGAAAACACGTAATACTACACAAAGAATGTGCTCATGTGTGAGAGCACGTCCACGATGCGTTAGTTATATGAGGACGGGTGAGGTCATGGACATATGATACATACATACATACATTTGATGGACAAGTAGTCATCTGGAAATGACAATATATCTAATCTGGCCTCAATATTCTCTCTTGACGTGTTTAACACCCTGCGAAGTAAAACCGCTTCTTCATCAATAAGATCGTTCAGAAAAGGACGTGACGTGTTCTAGAAAACACTTTAGTCTTTAACGTAACGGATCTTATTTTGTTCGTATGTGGAAACTGCGCTACATTCCGCCTGATACAGAGTGAATGAATGAATGAATGAGGAAAGCGCGCTGTGTGATTGGCTGGGCTGCTGTCAGAGGGAGGAGCCTGTGGAAGGAGGAAGAAAACCTGCTCCCGACCAGGTGATGTTCACAGGCTCAGTTACCATGGAGACTGAGCCTGAGCTTTAGTTACCATGGAGACTGAGCCTGAGCTTTAGTTACCATGGTGATTGAGCCTGAGTTTTAGTTACCATGGTGACAAGCCAGAGTTTCCCTCATCTCAGGGTGAACTAACTCTGAGTTTACACTAAACCTGCTTCTTAAAACGGACCCCTGGTGATTGGACACAGGTAGCGACAATCATGGACACTGCAGACAATCACAGGGGATGACAGGACAAGGCAGGAAGTGAAGTTAACCCAGGAACACCAGAGGCATGAAACTACAAAATAAAACAAGACGTGAACTCAAACCAGGACCTCTGGTGTGTGTGTGTGTGTGTGTGTGTGTGTGTGTGTGTGTTGGTTTCCTCAAAAGGAAAAGGACTCACCGCTCATCAGAGGACAGGACGGTGCTTCTGAGGTGGACTGATGAAGCTCTGTGACCCTGTTAAATCGGAGACAAACAGACGTCTTTCCTCTGTTGTAGAACAGGACACTTTTACTGTGTTTAGTGTCCACTTGAGAGGATTCTAATCCACAATAAGCAGGATTCGTCTCACTTCAAACTGACGCTGTGAATGCGTTTTTTGAGAGCTTACCTGTCGTGTGAGTGAAGAAGTCGGATCGTCTCAGGTCTCCGGGGACAAAGTCCTCCCATAAAGACATCATATGCATCAGGTGACATCAGCCTCTGGTTCCTATTGGCTGCTGACTGATGGGTCAAAGGTTTCAAACACATCAACATGATCCCAGTGAGGGACACCTGACTGTTGGTAAGTCAGCTCAAAGTGTGGAACCGAGCGTGACCTTTGCCCTCAGGGTGACTTATAGTGTTACAGGCCATTGGAGCCGAGGCTTATCTCTCATCTGAAGGATCCCTGGAGGTGACTGCAGAGGGCAGAGTGGGACTTCTACATGTCCTCTGTCCCCCCACAGGCCTGCAGGATGGACCATCAGGAGAAATGCACATTGCTTTGGGTATTTCTTCACAATATATATTTCATAATATATTTTCTTTTAAGAGACTTTATTCATATTACAGTTTTTTTCAATCGCTAACAAGCACTTACCCATACTTCAGAATTTTTTTCTAAACTCTTAACACAGACTCACACCTACAAGACACAATTGGCCAAATTGATCATTTTCTTCTCAAAAACACATTTTGTTAAATATACACTAACTCTTCATTTCAAAACAGAACACATCTTTCTCTGCACACACTAACTTTACCAAAACACTGGAAATCTGACTCAAAATGAAATGATTCTGTCAAAGAATAACATTTGTTTTCACTTCCCAAGGTACATGCAGTCAAACGAAGTCCAGCAGGTTTCAAAATTCTGGCTATTGTTGACATTATAAAAATTGACTTTTATGTTTCAGGTAACATGCAATCCACCATTTACACTAAATGTATTGGGTTGGAACTGTATGCACACATGTACAGTAATGTTCACATTCAAACGCATTCCAGTAAAAAGCAAATCAGTTATTTTTTCTTAACTACCAAAGAAGGTTCAGTAGAAACAGTATAATAGAACAGAAAAGGTTTTTTATTTTAACAAAATATCCATGAAACACACGAGCATTCTGAAAAAAACAACAGCCAAATGCCCCGATGAAAAGGGGGGAACTAAAAATGGCAACCAATGTGTGCATCTAATCCCTGCGATCTTCAGGTTCGGCCACATGTTTTCTTCAACATCACATCTGACATCATCTAAGGCGATGCACCTGGGATAAAACCACTTGGCATGTCGGATCCACCCGTGGCCATCGTGAACTGTGATGTCCCTGCAGCCAGCATCCATGGCTTCAAGGAGGGACATCTGGTCACGTGGCTGATGGTCATAAACCTTCCACCTCCATGCAGAACAGAACTCCTCTTCCTGCACCTGCTCCTCTCACTGAACCTCCTTCTACATCTGCACCTCTTACTCTTCCTCTAACTGCACCTCCTGCTGCACCTCTCACTGCTCCTCTTCCTGCACCTGCACCTCCTTCTTCACCTGCATCTCCTTCTTCACTGAGGAATGTGATGAGCTCACACATGTAAATGAAGGTGAATTAATCTGTTACCTGTGACTCAAACATTTCAGGCCAAGGACTTTTTACAGGTTACGCAACCTCTCACCAAAACACAGGTTTTACATGTAAAGTCCATTTTAACAGGTATCAGAGGAACACGACGTCGGTACACGAGACACAGGAAGTACAACTTTGAATATGCAGCTCTGTGGTATTTACAGCAGAGGTCCTCGTGTTTTGTGCTGCGAGCGCTTCGTCTGAGCTTCAGACCAGCAGACGTGTCACGCAGAGTCCTAGAGATGATGAGAATAACGCATTCAGACATGGGTCTGGACTTAAAGATCACACATACCTGCTCAGTGTCTGCTTGCTGAGGAGCCGCCTGGGAACAAGGACTGTGAGGTTAAAGGTTCCTCGTGTGAGTAAAACTCCACCTTCTCTGTTAATAAATAAGAGAGAGAACAAACTCCGCTTCACACAAACAGCAATCTGCCTGGACAGCCTGAGGACACTGAGTAGAGCCTTCTGCTGTATTTTCTTATCGTTAGTAGTAATTATTTGTATGAATAAAAGGTTAATAAATAAATAAAAAGGTTTGACAGAAAGAAGTGAAGCTTAAAGCTCAAACTGGTCACTGATCTCTATGAAACCAAACATTCAAACACAGAGTTTGATGCGTTTGTTTGACTGGTTTCACCAGGAGGAGGAGGAGGAAGAGGAGGAGGAGGAGGAGGAGGAAGAGGAAGAGGAGGAGGAAGAGGAGGAGGAGGAGCAGGAGGAGGAGGAAGAGGAGGAGGTTCTCCCTCACAGGGTACGTAGTCAGCGCTGTGATGATCAGACGTCAGCAGCAGAGGAAGGGGAGGAGGAGGAGGAGGCGGAGGAGGTGGAGGAGGAGGAGGAGGAGGCGGAGGAGGAAGAGAAGGAGGAGGAGGAGGAAGAGGAAGAGGAGGAGGTTCTCCCTCACAGGGTACGTAGTCGCTGTGATGTTCAGACGTCAGCAGCAGGACAGCATGGAGGTCACATCTCTGAGTGAGTTCATATCTAATGAACAGTGTTCTCTGTTGTGATGGAGTCACGCGTGTTAAGTTCTTAACATGTTACACTCATGTAATGTACCATGTAACATGTCCTCTCCACAGTGAGGACTGCCATGTTGCTGCTGCTCGCACAAGATCACGTCAGTTGTTCTCAAAAAGCTGGTAAGGAACGTCGATGTAAGTTTCATTTTTAGTCTCATGTTAGTCGATACCGGAGTACTAGTACACATGGAAGTACCACTAGTTAAGCAAGTAACATTTAGAGAGCACCGATTTAAGTTGCCAATGAGTGGGTGGAACCGCTTGTGCTTCTCCTGGACGCAGCTTTTCCTCGCGTGGACCCGAACAGACGGCAGCTCTTCGAATACGAGCCGCTCGCCGTCAGCTGTGAGGGACTGGAGGGCCTGACTGGGTGGAGAGTGATGAGGAGGATCCGAGGTCTAGTTGGGACATGTTCTCCACACTGGTCCACGTCCACAGGAGCCTGTAGGATCACAAATGCCATCCAGGGAGACACTGGGGAGTACTGGTGTGAGATGGGAGCAGCGAGAACCGGTTCTGTCAACATCACAGTCACTGGTACGCACATCGACGCGGACGCTGTCCTACTTTTATGTCCCACCTACGCTCATGTTAACGTTCCATCACCTTGAAACTGTTCAGGCGGTCCGGTGATCCTGGAGAGTCCCGTCCTCCCCGTGGCGGCGGGAGAAGCTACGACGCTGAGCTGCCGGGGTCAGCGGGGGACCTCCTCCCTCACAGCGGACTTCTATAAAGACGGCCGCTTGATGGAGAACAGCTCCTCCTTGAACATCACCATCCTCGGTGTCTCCAAGTCCAACGAAGGCCTCTACGCGTGCAGCCTGTCCGGTGAGACGTCCCCCGCCAGCTGGCTGCTGGTGAGAGGTGAGACGTTCGGCACCATGTGCAGGTCCAGGTCCCCCAGTCTGGTAGAAGTATCGTTGGTCCGTGAAAGAACCTGGTGGGAGGCGGACGCGATGCCTGAGAACAGATCTCTAGGTCTCAGAATGGATTCAGCGACATCAAAAGTCCAAAAGCAGATATTTCTCATCTTCTCATCTTCTGCACATCCACCCCCCCTCCAGCTGAGGAGCCTCATCCCTTCCCTCCGCCCCTCCACCTGCTCGCCATTGGTGTCGGGGTTTCCTTCGTGGCTTTGCTGCTGTTGGTGGGGATTCTGCAACGCTGGAAGCGCCGAGCAGCCCCCGGAGGTACGACGCACAGCGGGGGGGGCTTTGTTGGGACTATTGGGACCTGCATGTGCTTAGCGTAGAAGCTAACAGAGGTTTCCTGTTGACTAATGCTTTTTTATGTCATTGGACCAGACCCCCCCCCCCTCCCAGGCTTCGTCTCCTCAACCAGGTGATGGACACCAACCTTCCTTCATCGCAGCACGACACACTTCATCTGTGTGTTATGAACCAATGCAAGTGACCCCCAGGAGCATCGAACGTAAGGACTTTGTGTAGACCGATGTCTTCAGAGATACATGTATATATATATATATATATATATATACATATGTGTGGTAACATGCCAGTAATGTGCATCCTGATGTTTCAATGCTCAGACAGATGTGTAGCTGGTGAAAGGCTCATCTGTGGTTGTGATCTGTTTCAGTGAACACAGAGGCCTCTTACTATTCTGAGATCCAGGAGACATTCAGCGCCGTCTCAAAGTTCAACAACGGTGGGAGGTAATTCTTTCGAGCGCGTAATCTCGCTGCTCAGGTCGACCTTTACTCGACCGGCAGAAGAGAAACTCGGGGACTGTTTCTGAGGGCGGGTTTGTCTGAATGTGTGCGGCTGCGTCTGTGCAGCTAAAGCGTTTCTTATGGAACCACACGAGGAACACGAGGCCGAGTGAAACAGGAAGCAGGCCTCTCGCTAGAGTACACACGGGTTGTGTGGGTCAGTAACGCACTGACCTCACTGTCCCACACACGCATGTCAGTTAACAACACAAAGGACACTGAACGCTGATCGCATTTAGAACACGCCGACAATTTAGAAAGTGTTCTCATGAAAGAAACATCAGAGATACTCAGTTGGGTGTTAAAGGCGTGAAGATGTGCGTCTTTAGGACATGTTTGTCCTTTGTGTGTCTCACAGGGACTCCTGACTGAAGAAGGAAACACTGAGAAGGTTCCTTCGACCACACGGAGCTGTTCCGTTAAAGCATTTTGTAAATTATTTTAAACTAAATAAAGTTGTATCTTTCCTTGGAATGTGTTGCGATGGCTCTTTGTCCACGGAGACATTCTCACCGCCGCTTGCATTGAGTAAACCACGAGGCCGTCGGCCTGTCAGTCGTGCTGACGACTGCACGTACGACGTGTGTGAAAGTGAGAAAGGGAAGTGAGCCAACGAGAAGCAACGTGAGGCCGAGGACGAGGAGCCGGAGAGTCAAAGGTCTGTGTCTCTTTAGTAGAGCGCTTCATCATCGCATAGAGGCGTGTATGAAGCGGGTATGAAGCGTGTATGAAGCGTGTATGAAGCGTGTATGAAGCGTGTATGAAGCGGGTATGAAGCGTGTATGAAGTGTGTATGAAGTGTGTGTGAAGCGTGTATGAAGCGTATATGAAGTGTGTATGAAGCGCGTATGAAGCGCGTATGAAGCGTGTATGAAGCGTGTATGGAGCGTGTGTGAAGCGTGTATGAAGAGGGTATGAAGCGTGTATGAAGCGTGTATGAAGCGGGTATGAAGCGTGTATGAAGCGTGTATGAAGCGAGTATGAAGCGTGTATGAAGCGTGTATGAAGCGAGTATGAAGCGGGTATAAATCGGGTATGAAGCGTGTATGAAGCGAGTATGAGGCGTGTATGAGGCGAGTATGAAGCGGGTATGAAGCAGGTATGAAGCGTGTATGAAGCGAGTATGAAGCGTGTATGAAGCGGGTATGAAGCAGGTATGAAGCATGTATGAAGCGAGTATGAAGCAGGTATGAAGCGTGTATGAAGCGAGTATGAAGCGGGTATGAAGCGGGTATGAAGCAGGTATGAAGCGGGTATGAAGCGGGTATGAAGCAGGTATGAAGCAGGTATGAAGCGGGTATCTGAGAAGTTTCCTTTCGCAGACAAGCTGAGCTGTTTATCTGTTACATTTGGCAAATTATTATTTATTGTTTTTTCATTTTCAAGTTTACTATTAATATTCATTTTTGGATTGTGATGCAACACATTGATAAAGTAGTCCCAGTTGCTCCTCAGAGACTCAATGTAAAGTTCGTGGTGCTTCGAGGATGACAGATGTGGTTAACAGATGTGGTTAACAGATGTGGTTAACAGATGAAGAAGAAGAAGAAGAAGAATGACTGTTTTCTGATTAAAAAGCATTTCTGCACTTCCTTCATTAACTTTTCTGGAGAAAAGATTCCGTAATGTGGGACTGATAATGTCGAAAGAGGTGATTAGAAATGAAACTGAAAACCAAACGCTGATGAAAGAAAGAAAAGTCCGCCTTTGTGGTCCAGCTGGTCAGATGAGAGAAACATTCCAGCATTGAGGCTTAAAAGAGAGGATGAGGGCAACTCAGTGGGGCACTGTGACTTCAACCGCACTGAAGGTAGGAACATCACGCTACACTCACATATATGGATGTAATTACATGTACATGTATGTATATACATGTGTGTAATGTGTGTGTCTCTGTGGAGGTGCATGAGGTAGACAAACATAAACATTGTTTATATACATATATATATATATGTATATACATATATATATATATATGTATATACATATATATATATATATATATATGTATACACATATATATATATATATGTATATACATATATATATATATATATATATATATACCTAAATATACACAGATGCATACACACACATGTTGTCAGGCACATCCTCCCTGCGCGCCAGCCAGACACTCACATAACACCAAAGGGAACGACAGCGTTGAGAATTAAGTGAAGAGCTATTACACGGCTACCGCAAGAGGCCAGCCCCACATCTTCGGAACCCCACCGCTTTCTATACATCTCTTAATTGAATGTAGTTGTCATAGATTTTCGTGAAAGGCTGAATATTCACTCAGCAGAGAAGGAAGAGAAGATGGATGTGTAGACGGGCAGCGTATCGTATGTTGGATGTTAGGTATACGTTAAATTCGGGTCAGTCAAGTTGATGGAGCCTGCGTGTTGGGTTTCACACGTCGCCTCTTCGGGTGTGTGTACGACAACTGTTCTTGCTATGTTCTTTAGCAGAAAAACTACATATCGCGACGAGCGGTGGCTGGGCATACGACGCAGGGAGAGATCGGGGA